TTCCTGGTTGCTTATTTGTACCCTATGACTATCATTAAGTGTTGTACCTTATGATTCTTGACGAATGTATCTTTTCTTTTATCTTTTACACTGAGAGCATATGCACCAAAGACAAATTCCTTTGTGTCCGATCACCCTTGGCCAATTAAAAATTCTATTCTATTCCATTCCATTCTATTCTATTACCTGATATTTACCAATTTTCTGGGCAATTTTTGGAGATATTTGGGGCTAGGAGAATAAGGAAATAAGAGCCTATTTCTCTATTTTTGAGCTCCAGTTTCCTTTATATAACTAACTTAGCTGTGGCCAGGAAGCCTGGTTCCCTCTCTCATTTCCATCCAAAGATATTTAAGTTATTTGTAGACATTGATGTCTTAGTGCACCACTGTGCAGCAGACGTTTTATCCCTTTTTATGTGGCTTTGAAATAACATAAAAGAACTCCAGAGCGAAATCCTCAAAAGTCCCCTGAGTCTTATTTACAAAAGCTATAAAAGGCATTTGACTATTTGGGGGCAAATTTTTTATCCTCAGTGATTTCTTCAGCTCAGAGAGCTGCACAGCTGGTAGGACAACTGAAAGGATGACAGGCACCTGAAGTCTTAATTTCTGCGCTGGACTTTAGCAGCCAGTGGCTCTTCCTGTGGAGACAATTGTCTTTTGCTCAGCAGTTGCATAGAGTCAATCTCCATTGGGAACAATTGGAAAATGACCGTGTAACTATTTCCTTAATTTGTCTAGGTATCTAACCTTCTCCTTCTTAATGGCTCAGGGAAGGTAACAACTGTTCCCAAAGAAAATACACAAAGGAAAAATACAGCGTTATTGTTCTTTTCAGAAGCAAATTACATACCATATTTAATGCATCTTTTAAAACTAAATCCAATTTAGAGACCAAAAATAGAAAAGTCCTTTGGAACTGGAGCTTAGAAGGGGAGAGTTGAACTTTCTTTCCCTAAAGCACTGTATTTCAATTGGAATACGAATCCTGTTCCTCTTTTAAAGCCCCTGATAGAGTTTCTATTAATGCCTTTGAGAAGGCTATGTTGAGAATGTTTGGCTTGACCCCAGTTTTGCTTGTAAACTCCCAATGCCATCTGCAAAACAATGGATAAATGTTAAACTGGCATGCAACAATGTTGTTGATGTTTGGTGCCCAATCTTGGACTTACTCTAATTTATTGAAATAGACTACAGTTGACTAATTTCATACATCATATAATTTGAAAATCTAAAATAATGTATGGGCCTCAGTGGCACAGTGGCTAGAGTGCTGTACTGCAGGCCACTTCTGCTGACTGCTGTCTGCCTGCAATTTGGCAGTTCAAATCCCACCAGGCTCAAGGTTGACTCAGCCTTCCATCCTTCNAAAAACCACCCAACCACAAACCCTCAATTATTAGATCACAACTCAAGGATATCAGGAACTTAGTAAATGCATCATTGCCATTTTCATTAATGGGCGGGGTTTGTGGATATTTTCAAGTAAAATGCAGCTCGATGCTAGAAAATGAATCGATGAGAATCTGTGAAGAATTATCAAACTCTTTGGGATTCCATCTCAGAATAGAAAGTTGGACCAGTTGCCTTTAAAAATGTCTTCTAAACTAATGATTATTTTTCCTTGCAATAGTTCTGTTGACTCCATTCCTTTTTTCTTAATAATTTTAAAATTATTTTTGTTCCAAAAGTGACCCTGGAGAAAACTTTCTACAAATAAGGCATGATATTCTGATTTGACAGAATAGTAGGGATTATATCAATATTTGATTGTGGAAAGTGACACTGCAAAAAAATATAAAGAATTTATGTAGCATCTCCTTACTATAGGGACTTAATGGATTTTTGCAAAGGTTTGGCTTTAGCACTGTTAATTGGAATGACACAAAAGGAAAAATAAGTTCTAGCATTTTTAGACATTTGGACTTCTTAAGGTTGGTTTCAGGGCCAGGTGAATTTAGAGCTATAATAAAACTCAAAACGGAGCAATAGTCTGAGAATGCATGGTAGAAAAAGCAGTGATTCTAACAACTCATGGTATTTGCATAATTGTTGTTCAGAATATTAAAGAATTTATCTCTTGAAGCCTTGGGTTGTATTCTTAACAGCAGCTGCATCTGTTACATCAACTTATTTTCCATTGCTGCCCATAAAGAATCCCAGGAACTATACGATGGTGGGTATGGTAATGTTTTAGTATGGCTGCTTATCATTCCAGACAGAAAGTACAATTCCAGCTGTCCCTGGAGAAAACATTGACTACAAATAATTTTTATGTTTGTGATATAGTTCTATGTATAATGAATAGAGAGAGTTTTCTTTTGGCACCAAATAGCTGAGCTTATAATTTGCATTAAATCATGGCTTGTTTTAAGCCTAGTTTATTGAATAAAACAGAGTAGCTGAGCTCATATCTCTTATGAAGGCAGGTGCGATTTCTCCCATCAGTTAGATTACTGCTAATTTTTGGTTCTCCTTCTTCGTAAATAGCGTTAAGTCCTGTTTTCAAAACATGGAGATTTGCAAGCGGCGAGTAAACATGTATGACACTGTGAATCAGAGCAAAACACCATTCATCACCCATGTCGCCCCAAGCACATCAACCAATTTAACCATGACTTTCAATAACCAGCTCAATACAGTTCATAACCAGGTAAGAATAATTGTTATGATGGTCTAACTTGGTGGGCTTCCAGAGGTTTGGAACTTCTTTCTTTTAAGGGAAGAAATCTTTCTTTTTCTTTTAATGTATAATCTCATCACTTAAGCAGAGGTTAGAGATATAGACTGCTTCCAACATCATTCAGAAACTGTGGATCCAGTATATTTATGTTTCTTTTAATTTATAATCTCATAACTCAAGTAGAAGTAGAGATATAGACTGAGGATGGCCCAAGGTTGCTCAGAAACTGTGGATCACCAAGAATTTGACTTTGGTCCTTCTCCATCTAACACCAATGTTAAAATGGCTAAAAGTGCCTGACAGCATCAGAATGCAAATGCTGCAACTTATGTACTTCTATCAGTTGTATTTAATTATGTCCTTTGCATGGTCATTAGTCCTCTAGGAATCACTGCAGTTTGTTGCTTAATTGAATACAAAAACAAATATTTTTTTTAAAGGAAAAGAAACTGGATTATTTGGGGGGGGTTGTTTTAATTTTTTTTTAAAATCATGACAGTTGTATTGGGATTCCTTTTAACATTGTTAATACAGTCTCATTAATACAATTTTTTGCATTGCAAAAGTTAACAACTAAGAAAATCGAATCACATTTGTGAAATAACAAATAGGG